TATGTCGATGCCACCTGTCCTCAACCGTCTACCGCAGTCTTCGGACGGAGCATACGATAGGCTGATTTGGTTTTTAGATTGTAAAGTGTTAGCTGTTTTGTCGGCCCTTGTCTAGTCGGGGCTCCCTGGGACCAATGCGACTCGTCGGGGTTGAAGGGGAGATCCTCAATCGGGGTTGTTGGGCGATAGGCCCATCGTCCTCTGTCGTTGTCTAGAACTCCGATGCGATATATGTTCGATCTGTCCTTCCAAATAAAAGGATCTTGGCTGCCCCGTAGAGTGTCATCCTTTTGAACGGATAAAATCTCAATTAGGGCCTGTGTTGGGCTTACAATGTGTACTTCTCCTATCTCCTCCTTGTGATTGGGCATGCAAACCCAGTCTCCTTCTCTCAATTGAGGCCCTTTTCGAAGAATGCTATACCATTGGAGAGGAAAACTTTCAATGAGTTCGTTTAGCGCCGATTCCGTGAAATGGCAGTAGCGTAGCCATGCCCGCATCCTTTCTGTACTCTTCCAACATCTTGCCTCTATATCCCACAGATCCCCTACTCTGCTAGCACCATGTTTAACCCAACCTTTCCAGGGGGCATATGAGCTGCATCTTACCTGGCCCAAGGCATCCGTAATCAGTCGATTCCCAAACAGCGGTTGTCTGAAAATTTCTTCCCATCGATCCAGATTGGGTCGGTCGGGCGGCGGGAGCTTCCTCCATGTGCGAAGTAAGCGCAACCAATGTGTGCTCACGGGTTTCCCATTCTTATCTTTCCTTGGAAGCCTCCAGTATCTGTCTTGTAGCCATACCAGAGGGTCCGTCTCCGGGGGGGGCTCCGGTGCTAGGGCAGCGATTTGCGCCAGAGCCATGGGGGGGCAGGGGGAGGACGGAGAGAAGATAATGTGTTGAAGCCAACGGAGTGTAAGGGACTGGGATTGAGTGGCCGGGTCCACAATTCCTAGTCCTCCTCTGGTCTTGGGTTGGATCACTGAGTCCCAAGCTACTTGACTAATTGTGTGGGGGTTAATACTGTCCCCTCTCCAAATGAAAGCTGCTAGCTGCTGTTTTAGGGACCTAAGCCCCCCGTCGCTCATGGGCCATATAATCGATTTGTACCAAAGTGTGGCCAACACCACGTTATTAATGACCAAGGCCCGCCCAAATAACGATGTGTGCTTTTTATTCCATTATTTTAGTTTGGCTTGTACTGGTCCTGTCAGCCAGTCATCGTTGGTCGCCGACTTCCCTTTTGCTGTAATGAGGGTTCCCAACACTCTCAAGGGGTCTTCCAGGGGTAGCCATGTGATGCGCGGGTTTTCAGGAGGCCTTCCTCCTTGCTGGTGCATCCACCATCCTACCGTCTTCTGCCCCCAATTAACTACCATATCGGAGAGTCGACAGAACCGGTCCATGAGAACTTGGATTTCTTCCATGTTACGATCTGTCGCTTCCATCATTATGGTGAGGTCATCAGCGAAAAGTGAGCAGATCGGTATTGCCTCCTCCGGGATGTTCGTGATTTTGATGCGAGAGAGGTTCTTATTATGCCTGAGGTTGGCCGATAGTGCTTCTATTATTACCAAGAACAGATAGGGTGCAATGGGATCCCCTTGTCTTACAGACCTCTGAAGCACGAAGGGGTGCGCTATCGACCCGTTGACCTGCACACAGGTGGTGGCGTTATGGTGGAGAATCCTAACCCAGCGTCGGAAGACTGGTCCGAAGTTCATTCTTTCCAAGCATTTGTCCAGAAATTCCCAGTCAACGTGGTCGTATGCTTTTTCGAAGTCAATGAATATAATGGCCGTGTTAACTTTATTCCGTTGGGCTAGTTCGCCCACCTCATTAACTAGTAAGATATTTTCTTGTATATTCCTTCCGGTCATGAACCCTGTCTCAGCCGGGTGTATGACATCCTCCAGGACAGATGCCATACGATGTGCCAGCACTTTGGCCACCATCTTATAGACTACTGTGAGTAGAGTGATAGGTCTGTAATTCCTAATGTTCATTTTGTCGCCTTTTTTGTATAACAGCGATAGCACCCCCTTACCCACAATTTATCCCATTTCCCCGGCATTCCACACCTCCTGATAATACTCCCATAGGTCCGAGTTCAATTCTGGCCACATGATTTCCCAAAATTCCTTGGGGAATCCGTCTATGCCGTTTTTTTTTTCCTCTCTCATTTGGAGGAGTGTTGTCCATATTTCGTTTTTAGACAGATTTTCCTCCAACTGTTCTTGCTGTTATGGGGAGAGGCGGCGATCCATTGGTGCTAAGAACTCTTCCAGTTCCCTATCCCTTTTTCCTTTTGAGAGCGCGGGATCTGAGATGTGTATAGCTGTTTGAAAAAGGTCCTAGTAATTAGTGTGCAGTGTGTTGTGTCAGTAGCTATGATTCTGTCGTTGTTCGGGTCAAAAAGGGCTTCGATGACTGTACGTCTAGCCCGTGCTGTGGCCATGGAGAAGAAATGGGTGTCCATGGTAGCTTCCTGAGTAAATTTGGTCATCTTTCCCCGAATTCTAATACCTTGTCATCTATGTAATGCGTATTGTAAAAGGCGGTCCTTAATATCTTGGATGGTGGTAGTGAGAGATTGTGAATTTGCCTGTTGTTCCAGGATTATTAGTTCTTTGTGGGTTGACATCTCGTGCTGTTGTCGTTGGGCTGCCTTGATTTTGGAAAGATCCTTGCATTTTTTTGCTAGATAGATTAGTCCATTGTTAAACCATGTAAGGTGTGAGTCGAACAGATGCTTTTGTTGACGCCAGAAGTTCCATTCGCTACGGATCATCTGTGTGAAGGTTGAATCTTTAAGGAGGGAGGTGTTTAACTTATAAAAGTCAGGGCCATGATCGGACCTTTTCCTTGTTGTCAGTATGATTCCACATGTCTTATGGTCTAGACCTGGGTACGGGCTTCGCGGGAGAATTAGTGACCAGCGCAATGCACCTTCTAGGTCGTTAGAGATAAGGATGAGGTCAATCCTAGATTTGGACAGGCGTGCCAGGTCGCTATCCCTTACGCATGTAAAGGAACGCGCCTGAGGATGTAATCGGCAAAAGGAGTCGAAGATTGAAAGTGTATCACAGAGTTCGGCGATCATTCGTTCATCTTCCATTGCGGCAAAGGAAGGGGATTCTTGGGCATTCCATCTGTCCAAGGTCCTGTCAGGGGTAGCATTAAAGTCCCCTGCTATGACTAGGGGGATGCCTTCCGGTACTTGTGTGGCCAGCTTCCCCAAAAATTTCCTTCGTTCGCCGACAGTGTTAGGTGGGTAAATACAGAGTATGCATAGTAGCTCCAGTTCCAGCATACCGAGGACCGATACCCATCGTCCCTCGTCCCCATCTACGACCAAGTGAACTGGCTGAAATCTGGAGTCCGGAGGGACCCAGATTGCTACTCCTGCCGAACCAGGTCTAGGTGCGTGGGCTCTGAAAGCTGTGTGAGGCCAGACCATCTTATGTGCCCTGTTATGCTCCGGGGTGTCTTGTAGGTGGGTTTCCTGGACGCAAGTTACGTCCGGCCATCGTCTGCCTCCTACTCCTCTAAGTTGGTCCCAGATGGCCTGACGCTTTTCAGGTTTGCTCGACGGAAGACCATTTACATTGATAGATTGTAAATTAAGGGCGACCGATAACGCATTTTTGCCATGCTGGGTTCTTGCAGTATAATGTTTCTAAATCATCCATTGGTATTCCTTATCTACAGTGTGTGCCATGGCTTGTCGTCCCATCTGTCCAGGAGTAGAGTCCTCTTCCTCACCATCTTACACAGACACCTACATACATCATCCTCTGGCCAATACTCGCTGGCTTTGACTTTTGCACATTGGAGATCCACCAGTGCATTGTGGGTAAACCAATGTAAGTTGGCTGTCTTGTTGGTTTCAAAACGCAGGAAGAGGTCGTTGTTGGCCATTTGATAGTCGCTGGTTCCAAGCAACCGCACTCCCGCTTTTGCGCCCGGGGCATAGTGTGAGGGGATAAAGGTGCGCATTTGGTCGGTAAAAACCTTGTCCCCGTCCTCTCCTTCCTTCGGCGAGAATTCCCACCCTTGTAAGGTTACGCCCCCGTGTTTCCCTATCGGGTAAAGGCCTATCTCCCATTTCCCATCGGTTTTCCTCAGAGGGGCCACCAGAACTCCCACCTGTTTGGATAGGGGCGTTTCAAATAGACCTCGCTCTACGAGCTGTCTAATCTTGAGTCTTTGGGAGGTCAGTCCTTCATCTAGTCCTTCCATGTTTCCCGTGCCTCCCGTGCTTTCCTTTTCCTCGGTTGGGGCGGGCTGGGTGTGCCCTTCCTGTGCTAGAGGGTCCTGGCGAGGAGCGGGGGAGTCCTTGGTGGGAGGGGGACGGAAGCGGCCTCTTGCTACGGCAAGTATGCGTTGAAACGCTTCTGCCCATGTCAAATGAGCAGGCGGGCCAGTGGACAGCGCATCCTGAGTGTCGGGCTGTTGTTGAGGAGGGTGACAAGTTCGACATAGGAGCAATCCCAGTATTGCTCACCTTCGTGGGGAAATTCGGCCTGCAAGTGTTTAATTATCCATTCCGTCACGACTTGGATTTTTTGGTCCAGGCCGATTTCCTTGGGGGGGGCGTCCGGGTCTGCCGGGTCCTGCGAGTGGGTGGGTATCTTGTGGGGGACGGGAGGTTTTTTTTTAGGGAATGCCAGCCGCCGAAGGGCCCAAATAGAGGCTGTACGCAATTGACATTGGGGGTAAGAGGCCTTCCGCGTGTCGAATGGGATGTCCATAGTACTGCCCAGAGTCGACCAAGAAGGAGTGTTTCACGACGAGAAAGGGGAAGGGAGGGGAAGGGAGAGCCAGCGCGGTGGTGAGCGGTGAGAGGAAGGGGACAAGAAACGGGGAAGGCGGGCGTGAGAGAGAAGAAACTACGCAGTAGGAGGAGAAGCAAGCGATGTTGGGAAGCAGTTTGGCGGGAGAAATGGAGGAACTGGCGGGGAAATGGCGCGCGCGGCAATGTGGCCGGTACCGGTAGTCGATGGAGAACTGCTGGTTCCTTCTTCGCGCAAGGATGCGCATAGGTACTGTCATGACAGATAGGCAGAAGGGTTATGTAGTTGAAGAAGTGTAGAGGAGACGAGAGGAGAGGAGGAGTAGTAGGAATAGAAGGGCGAAGAAGTCACATGTGAAGCGTCTCTGAATCCGCCACGTGTAAATGCACGTAGATGACCAAGTTTCCTCACGTGCGCGGGCGCAGGAAACGTGGATGCAATGCGATTGATTGACTGACTGGTCGATTGATTGATTGATTGATTGGTTGCTTGCTTGATTGGTTGATTGATTGATTGATTGATTAATGTGCGCAGCGAGTTGAAGAGAGAAAGAACGGTAGGAAGAGCACGAAGCAGGCGGGGGAGGTTACCGTGGCTTAGGCATGGCTACGAGAACAACGCCACCTCAGAAGGGAAGCGGGGGGGGGAGTAGAAACAACGGGAGTTCAGGGGGTTCTGCAGACGGAGTATGGGGGGTTCCATATCATCTGAAGACGACCCCTCCGCCTCCTGACGATGACTACGAGCCTACGAGTGGGAAGGGAGTTCGAGAGGAAGAGGTTAGTGCTCAAGTGCGAAAACCCTCTCCTGACCTTGGCTTCATTTGGAAAACGTGTTTCGGGGGAGGGAGAGAATGCGCGCGCGTGGGGGAGAGAGGAGAAGGGAGGGGTTTAGCAGACAAGTGCTGATGATGATCTGTCACTTCACCAGCTTAGATCAATGCCTCGACATTATTGGTTTTTACTTATTATAAATATAAATAGAACTCGGGTGTCTACTACTTGCGTGTTCAGAGCCAGGTTCCATCTGACGGCGATGTGCTCAATGACTGAACAAAATCAACGCCTCCACATGCGTGAAAGAGCACGTACACACACACACACACACACACACACACACACACACACACACACAC